TTACTTCTTGTTATGTATCAGGAAAAGGCATATTGTTAATCTCACGTTTAGACGTGTCATTTGCCAGTAAAAACGTGTCATTTTCAAATAAATTATTGTCATTTTTAATTAATATACATGCTACTTCTTATTATGTATCAGGAAAAGTTACTTTGTTAATATCAAATCTAGACTTGTTATTTCTCAGTTAAGACTTGTCATCCTCAGGTAAATTATTGTCACGGGCTGAAGTCACAGTAAAAGAGTCAACTTATATTTTTGTTTGCATTATAAAGTTAACAAGTCTTTGATGGCCCAATGGTTATCTATCATTTTGTTAGTCTAAATGACCAAGGGGTTGTGGGATCAAATCCCATCCCCACCATTTCTTACAATATTCTCCCATACAAAAAAAAAACACTGTTACAAAAAAAAAAACTCCACCGACAGCTACTAGCTGAGTTTTTTAAAAATAAAAAAAAAAAAAAAACAAAAGGCATTTTTGTCATTTTACTGAATTTTAAAATTCTAGTTTGGGAAGGACTTCCCTCTCTGTCATTACATTTCCTTAGCTTCCCAAATTGAAATTTCATAAATTCCACCTTCTTTATCTGTCATTTTCCCATAAATCAAATCAGATTAGACTTTATTTTTATACGCGTTGAGGAAGTGAATATGAAAAACCTTTTGCATGGCTTTCATTTGCTTCCCGAGCCATTTTTAAGGGACTCCATTTCTGATGCAGAGTACTACTTAAGTCCACTCAGATAAAATTACACTGTCGAATATCCATTTTCTTCTCACTATTAAAGCAATGCTAACTCATCTATTTTGAATCACGGGAGTATCATATTTAGATACTGATTCAGGAAAACAGGAGAATAGAATCTCTGGCTAAAAAAAAAAAAAAAGAAAGAAAACAGAGAGAAGGGCACGTAATAAGTTCGATTTAAACAAGAAAAGGGACAAGGGACGCTATAAAATTGTAATAAAAAAATATGCAATGGAAAACAAACAAAAACATTAATTAAAAACTTTCAACACTATTTCTCATTTTTTAAAATCAGACTAATTAAATTCGTTTCACTCCTTTTCCTACAAACCAAACAAATAATAGTAATTAATAAAAATTAAGTATTGACTAGGTGTTAATTTAATAATTTTATAAAAATAATGATTGTTTTTGAAAATGGTAGTGTTTAAAATGCATGAAATAAAATTGTATAAGTAATCACAGATGAATAAAAAATTCATAGATAACAACATTTTTCTATGGTATTTGTTATAACGCTTATCAGTTATAGAAAGCGATTTATTTTAGTCTATAAATTCTATGCTCATGTAAATTGAAAAAACCCGAAACATACGTTTTGGGTGTTTGTTTGCCACTGCTTTGCTTCAGAATTTGTTTGTTTCATACCATTGTATTAGCAATTTATTTTTCTTTAAAATTTATTGACCCATCCATATTGACAATATATAATCAACAATTCATTTTATTCCCACATAAATTATTTTAAAATATATCATTTCATGCATATTAATAATATAAACAACTTATTTTTCTTGAGCTTAACATATATTATACTGTTAATACCACAAGGATAGTATATTTCACCTAAAATTGACATTCTTGTGTATGTCTTACACCCAACAATGTCATATAAGCTCTTCATTTTGAACAAAATTTGAGATAGATTGAATTATTTACAAATTGCGGTTAACTTAATCATTCTTTTTTATGTATTTCACACCACTGGAGTATTGGTATCGTGTGCCAGGTTTATTTGATAAAGAGAGGTCGACTGGTTGGCAAAATAAAGAAAGAAGAAATAAAAGGAAAAGAACGAAGGGGGGGGAAAAAAAAGATAAAGCGCGAGCGCCCCTTAGAAGTCTCTTTGAATAATATGAAATTGAAAAAAGAAAAAAACAAAAAGACAGCTCATCAAAAGGATGTCCGTTGATCAATAATTTCTACAGTTCAATTTACCTGAATTTTTTATTATAGAAAACAGAAAGATTAAAAACGTTTTTCAAAAACCTCTTTGGATAGTATAAAACAGAAAGAAGAAAAAAACAAAAAAGGAGCTAATGAGAAAAAAGGCCCATTCATCGATAATCACCGTAATCCATTTCCTTACGTGCACCAAATCGGATTCGGAAGGGCACAATCCATCCAAATAAATGAAAAATACTTGTTACATATACCTTCTCGAAAAAATTGTTTGCGTAAGTTCTTATACACAAGAATTTAGAGCCCTTATAATTTGGAATTTCTTATTCCACTATATATATTCCCTCAAAAAAATGATACAAAATAATAAAATTTATTTTTAATATATGAGATATGAAGATAATATAATCACTGGAACACATTATTGAATATTTTTTAGAATTAAAAAAATTCATATATACTCCTCTAGTTCTATTTATATGGCAGAGAGAGAAGATTTTTCTTAGTTCTACTTATAAGTCACTTCATTAAAGTTTTAGCATGAATGTACCATTTTATTTTTCATTTATTATAGTATATATAATTATTTTTAAAAAAAATGTATATATTAAATAGAAGTAAAATTGGAGTAAAATTAGAAAGTTATTATATTCTAACAAAGAGTTTATACAGTTTAAGATTTTTTTTATTTGTATGAAATATGTTGGAAATACAGTGGAGTACTACTTCTTGAAGCGCATTTTATTAGCTAATTTTTAAAACTCAGTGTACTTAATGATGGTTAAGGAAAATGCAAGCATTTTTCCGCGTAAATAAAACAGTGCATTCAATGACTATTAATTATTGAGATTTGAGAGACAGCGAGGATTTTGACGACATCCAAAACATTCATAGTTGAAATATTACTATTGGTCCCTTTGCTGTGGCAATCAATTTCTTTCCATAAATCCCACCAATGGGAGGATTCCTTCTCATGATGACACATAACCCTGGTCTGAATCTGCAGAAACCGCATTGGCCTATAATGAATTTCTTCTTTTCCAGCCAATGTACCAATTTAATTATAAAATGCACTACCTTCTTCCAAGTAATTCAAACATATCATTTGCTTTCTTTCTTCTCCATTTCTGAGGTACAATGGCCATGCCTCTCCTTGTCTCTTCCAGTTCTAACAACCAGAAGCAACTTGGCTTCACTCTTTCCTCCAGCAACTACAGAAACAGAAGCCTCTCTCTTTTTCCCAGCTTCATCAATGGAGGAGCTGAGCCTGTAATGAACAATGGGGTCTCTTTCAATTACTCCAACCAGACCAACAGAAGTCTCTCTGCTGGGCCTAGCATCGATGGAGGTGATCGACAAGTCATCAATGGGGTCTCTTTGAATTTCTCCAACAGTATACACAGAGGTCTCACTCTGGTTCCAAGCTTCAATGATTATGAACGAGTCATGAACAATGGAATCTCTTCCAATTATTCTTCTAACCTGCAAGAGACGGGCTTTTCTGTTTCAAGCAGCAATCATAGAAACAGATGCCTCTCTATTGTTCCAAGCTTCAATGATTACGAGCCAGTTATGAATACTGGGGTCTCTTCCAGCTATTCCAACCAGCAGAAGCTTGGCTTTTTTGTTTCAAGAAGCAACCTTATAAACAGAAGCCTCTCTCTCGTTCCAAGCTTCAATGACCATGAACCAGTCATGAACAATGGGATCTCTCACAATTATTCTGACCCGCTAGAGCTTGGATTTCCTGTTTCAAGCAGAAACCATCAAAACAGAAGCCTCTGTCTTGTGCCAAGCTTCAAAATTAGAGGTGGGCCAGTGAATATGATAGAGAGGAGAAGCAGCTTTGTGAGAAATTACCGTTTTTCTTATTCAGCAAGGCTTCTGGCCACTCGAGAGATTCTAAGAGCTCGTCTCATATCTGCTTTCTCCACCAGACGTCGTCTGGTCCCTAGTTTCAGTTCTCAAACCAATCTTAATTACTCACAGCAACGTAGAGCGAGAATCACCATAACAGAGCTTAATGAAGAAGCATGCTCAGATGATAATCAATCCAGAAGCAATTATAATGGAGCTCTTGTTATTGCTCCTACTCCTGTGAGTGTTTGTTATCCTTCTGCAACAAATAATGAGAACGATGTTGACAATGATGATGGTATAACTCATAGTCTTCCTTGTAAGAAATATGGGCCCTACACATGCCCAAGGTGTTTTGGAAAGTTTCCAACGTCACAGACCTTTGCGGCTCACGTGAGCTGTCATTACAAGTATGAAACTAAAGCTCAGAGGAGGAGGAGGCTTATGGCCAAAATCAGAAGAAGAAATCTCCGCCTTCACCACTCAAGGGAGGGAATAACTCTTCTTCCCGCAAAACCAGTTGCTCAGCCCGAACCCACCAACATGGCTGAAGCAGAGGGCCAAGGTGAGGGAGCAGTATCTAAAGTCCAAATCAAGGAAGAACCTGCCGATTTTTAAGTCAAATGTGTCATGGACTGGATCTATCAAGTATTTAATGTTTTTCCTTCTCTCTGTAACGTCCTCCTTCCCTTTTTTTTTCTTTTTTCTTTTCTTCCCCCTTCTTTTGGGCATTAGGGTCTATCTGCAGTGTCCGTTTTGTATGGTCGGCTGATGTTTACTGCTTTTATGAAGTTCATCCATAATCTTCTTAAACCGTGTGTTCTAAACATAGGAAAATCGCATCTTATTTCCTATGGATAAATTAGAAGCTGAAATTTGAACCTGAAAAGAGAAAGAACATTGACAACTAAGTAAAAGGTGTTTGACCCTCGAAGCAGTATTATATTTAGAAAATATGCTGATCTTAATCGTCGTGACCTTGCCAAACGGGAACGTGACCAAATACACAGCATGACCCAACTAAATCTGGCGTATTCAAGAAGATCGAAATACAGTTTGCCCAAAAAGTTCCCCGTCAATAAAAATCACAAATATCTATACATAAACTCTTCGGATATTTTCAATGACCTTGGGTCGGATTTTTCCCCGTTCGGATAACTTTGTTGGCAGAGAGGGATCTACAATGTTGAGAATAACAGGGGATTTTCAGAAGTAGCATGCAATTGCATTTCCCAGCAGCGTTACAAATCCACGCCAGAAATAATCGCGTGCAGCTGCTTTGCAGTCCACGTCACATCAAGTAGTTTAAGAAGAGGACCATTAATATCTTCTGCCATAGTCGTCAAAAGTGTTCTGCATTCTATAATATACAAGTCACATCATATTAGAGAGAGAGAGAGAGAGAGAGAATAAAACTCTGTATATTTAATGATAGCGCTCTTGCATAAATTCATCATCATGTGAAGTATTCTTCCCATACCACGTTCCATCAATAGCTGCATTGTGAATTCAACTGAAGGGAAAGTTGTCAAACCTGGTATTTTGCTGAAGTTAAGCAAGCACAATGAAGCAAGAATCCTCAGTTCAAGTTCCCCATTTTCCAGGACTTCTACTATCTCAGAAATGACGGCTAAGAAGGCAGAGAGTTGTAATCCAGAGTCATATTGCGTAGAAAGCGAGGAGCTCAACCAAGAGACAGTTACCAAACACATGTTGACCAAATCTGGATGTCTAGAGTCTAAACATTTAGAGATAGAATTCAAAAATGGACTCTCTCCATCACCGATCATTGATTCTAACAAGTTCACCAACCATTCTTTGCTCCGTTCTTCTTCCTTTTCCTATCATTTTAGTTAAAAATATCAGGCATGTGACATCAAGTAACTTGTGTAAGCAACGACAGTTACTTGATAACATAAAAGAGTTGTTCTGGATTTGATTCACATTGATAATTCTAGTAGCAGTCGCTTGCTATCGACAGAAAACACGTATATCATCATTCGTCCATGGTATAGTAATTGAAAGGGGTCGCAATAGAATCGATAATTCAACTTCCATGAGGAAGGGACTAAAGAATAAGGACCTAAGATCAAAGTTTATCAGTACATTGGTAGTGTATAATTGGAATATTAACAGTAATTATGCGCATCAGATAAATGTTCAAGGAGGCGTTATGTTTCATCAATATGGATATAATACAAAGATGATGAAGTAATGTATTGGAGAAAACTTACAAAAGAAATGGCTCCATCCCATGATAAATCCTCTTCCTCGTGATCAGAAGTGTCAACTTCTGAACCATTGATTACATATCCCGCTTCTTTTAGAATGCAACTCTTGGTCAGTACCTTCCCAGTGGAAGAAAAATGCCCAGCCAAGATAAAAAGTGCTCTACAACAATTTTCTTGGACTTTCTCTTCATTTAAGCTGGCATGGAGAGCCTCTGAAATGGAAGTCACAGCCTGCTCTCTGTATGAGCCATAATTTTGAGACTCGACCTGAAGTGAAATCTTATCATTGCCAAAAGAAAAAAGGCAAAACAAATGCTTTGAGTGAGTGTGATGATGAAACGAAATTTGTTTAATAATAATAATAAAAAGACTATTGGAGCATACCAGCAGATCAAAGTGCAACAAAAGAACAGCAGTTTCAGGTTTGAGATGCAGCGGAGAATCCTTAAGGTACATGAGCAGAACATGCATTGTAGTGGATATATCCTCACCCTTCAGTCTATTTAAGAATGAAGTGACATCCTTTCTTCTACACATTACATGAGTCAACCACTCAGCAATTAAGAAGAGAGCTAGACAATAATCATTCTCAAAAGTACAATTAGTCAATTAAGCAGGACCTCACATTATAAATATACGTCACGTCACTCCCTTGTATAGTTGGAAGTTCAAAGGTATAGATGTTTATTGCTAAGGGAGAATTAACCAGTCAAGTCAAGTCATTGAAACTCAAAGCAAAACTTACCTCCTAAGAAAGCAAATGATTCATTACTAAGGTAATGCTAAAATCTCATAGAGAAAGAAAACTAATCCATGTTTTCTAGGCCATATATACGTGTTATTTAACCGGAAAAGCATTCTAATAAGAGTATAAGCCCAGCAATAAAGAAAAATTCCGATTCAAAACATCAGATAAACTGGAAGGAAACAACAAAACAACGCATTATTTTGAACCGCTAACTATGTAGATAACATTTAGACATTGATGACTGCCAAGCTTGCAAACCGGAGAACTTCACCAGCTTTTAGCTCTATGTTTGTGATCTATTGAAAAACTAAACACCGCCACTGAAGAAGAAATCCTAAAAACTAAAAATAAAAATTCTATGGCCCTCATTACATGCTACTGGTGAAGAAGATCAAATGCCATAAAATAACTTGACCATACCCACCTTTTTAATGCTACGAGTTTGGTAAGCAATAATATTGCGCTAGTTCTTGAAGTAAACTCCTTGTGGTGAAGAAGATCAAGAAGAAACCTTTTATTAATATCTCTCGCTATCTGATACATGCAACAAGAGTCTCCTCCAATGAGATTTAGCAAGAGTGCCGCCACATGTGTTTTCTCTTCCAAATTTCCCAATTCAAACCTCCGAAGCAGAAATTCTAAAACCCCAAAGGAAATGAGATGCTTGGCATAAGTGACTTTGTCCTCTTCATTTAACACAGTGAAAAGACTCTCTAATTTGGAAGTAATAATCTCATCCCTATCTTTCAGCTTTGACTCTCTTGAATTTTTTGAGATTGGAGAAGCGGAATCCAAGAGCTCGCTTAATTGTTCTGATTTCCAATTATGAATCAGTCTCTTCAAGACAATGTTAGTTAGGGGCATGGCCACAAAATCTAAAGTAACTCCTGTTACAGGACATATTCTGTGTCCCTCTCTGAACCATGACTTGAGGGCTGCGTGTTCAAAGGTTTGCCCAGTCTCTATAGTGACTGGTTCCTCCAATAATTTTCCAGTAAGGGGACAAAGAAATTCTTGTGGAACGGTTGGAAAAGACAATCCTGCATCAAAAAGTTTATGTAGTCCAGTTACCTTTATCATAAGAAATCCTAAATAAACAAAATATGCTATCTAAAGGAGGTTGAACTAGAAAAAGAAATATTTTTCTCACCTTCAAGAGAAGAGCCTGTCTTGATTGGCTGCATTTGAAAGATTATGGATCAGAGGTCAATGGAAATAAATAAAGCATGCACCATCAAATTGTTAAGAGGTAAATATATCAATCATTCCGTATTATAACAGTTCATACATTCCCAATCTATTAAAATTACTAGTACCAAAATATAGCATTCTGGGCGCAGGAGAAGACTTTTAAGACAATTTATAGAGGAGAGAAATCATGTTTTCCTCTTCTATATGCTTGTTGTTGTAGGTAACCAGTCCAGCCTAATAGTTGAAAGAGAAAACTTCTGTAGTAATACAGACCAAAGCATAAGATTTTTTTTTTTTTCCTTGGAGGGGGGTAAGAAACAGCAAAAAACTTACAGGATGCAATGAAACAAGTGGCACATTCTCGAAGGAGTCTTCTTTAACATCTTGATCAGTAAATTTCACTATTTCTGGTATATGTGTAGATGTTTGCTCGATGGCAGCTGAACCGTAACAACCTCTGATGCAAGTGCCAATGTCATTATCCCCCTCACTATCTTCATGGTCATCAATTCCCGGTTTACTCAACCTACCAAAGACAGAATGATAAAGTCTTTTGCTGACTGTTGGTTGAGGTGAGGATGAATCAATAGGAATAGAAAGCTCTGACGAATGACCTAGTGAACTTTTCTGCCGGCTTTCCAAGACAGAGATTGATGGAATATCGATAGAAGGAACTATTGGAGGTTCAGCTCCTTCAGTGAGCCAATTTTTGTAGTATACAGCAAACATGTAAGTTCCAGAATCCAAATGCTCCTTATAGACTTTTTCAAGAAGATTTCGTTTTCTTGCTCTGCTTGATTTGTTGGCTAGAATGACAACTTCCTTAGCGTACCATGCTTTCAGCTGAAAAAAATGTGGAGAAAACAGATCCTCCCACAGTTCGGGCAGCAATGTTGTCCGTGTCTGGAAAGGTGAATCGCAAAACACTTGCAAAAGATGCCTTGCTGACGCCTTATCTTTTCTCTGAATCTTATATAATGCACTAAGGTAAAGATGAGCAGAAGATGACAACTTATAATTCGGAACCCCACATGTAAATCCATGTTTCAAATCATTTAAACTCAAACCTGTAACAAAACCTAGCTGCAAAGAAGCCCTTTTCAATTCTTTTGAAGGTAAAGATTCGTCAACGACTCGTTCAACTGTCTCAATTCCTTGTTCAAGACTTCTTACTGCTTCGGCCTCAGAACTGTTCTCGTCTTCTGGCTCAATGAAATTCAACGAATAGAAACAAGTGTGACGCAATGTAGTCCGGAAGTCCTCGTCTTTTATAAAACGTTTTATATGTCCATTTAGAATGGAAACAATCGCTCGGACAGCAACTTCATCAAGAGCTAGATTAGAAGCCACCTTCTCATGGTGCTTTTGGTAACTGTTATCAAAGATTTTCCTTGAAGATCTACTGTAAGATTTCCTATGTCCTTTTATATTTTTCCTTGCATTTCCTCTGAACTGTTCAAGCATATTTGAGTCAAAATCACTGTCATGCCTCTTATCCACCTTTCCATCCATGACAGGCATTTCTCGCCATTTTTCCTTGTCCCTAAATTCACTTGAATTCTTCTCTTTCCCTCTCGGGGTATCAGATGTCTCATTTGAATAGATATCTTTAATTCTGCTGTGTTGTTTCTCCCTTACCTCAGTTATCTCAAATCTGGTCATAGTTTTTGGTGATTTTAGAACGACTTTTGTACCCACTTCTGTACTGCTACAGAGTGTCTCCTCGTTTTTATTCTTCAGTCCTTCAACCATTTGTTCTCTTTTATCAAGATTATCCCTTGGCCTCACGTTCTTAGCAGTATCACTATTCAATAATTCGCCTCTGATCTGATAACGCAAGGCATCAGACTTGGCTCTCTCTGTTAAAATTCTCTCACCAGATATGGAAGGTCTTCTTTGTTGGTTGTGGAGAGAGCGACGCGGTGGCTGTGCAGTCACAGCATCAGACTGCAACGAAGATATCGACCTTGTCATTCTTCTGCTCTTTTTGAATCCTTCTTCTGCCAGAAGCTCCGCCAAAGACGAAGCCATTTACCAGGAAACTCAGGTCTCCTCGGCAATAAACGTCCCCAAAAAGACTTTGCGATACACCCCTGAGGTTAAAAGATTTTGCGCTCCAATGACAGACTTCATGCAACAGAAAAGTTGTAGCAAACACCTACATTGCAGTCGATCTCAACCCACAATCATCAAGCTAGCCTTTTTTTTTTTTAAAACGCGAAAAGGTATAAATTTGAAACCAGGTCCGACATCAAAATATAAGAAGGGGCATATAAGAAGATTCAAGAGAAGTGAAGGAACGTGGGGATATGCCATGAGAGTATCGTATATGATATGAAGGACGGCAGCAAATTAATTAAAAAAATGAACAACCAACAGAGGAAAATTGAAAGCTGACAAATGAGAGTAGAGGAAGAGTTGGGATGGGATTCAAGACTTGAATTTGAATGTTTCAAGGGTGAGAGACTCTTTGTCTCTATCAACAGCTTCGGTATTTTGCTGGTCATTTCAGTATGTTGATTAAAAAACACCAAGAACAAAGTCGGACGTACGTGTAAAACAAAGAGCAAAGCCACTTGAAGACGCCATGCAAGCAAATAATATAGCCGCATTCAATAGCCGCCTTCTCTCTGTCCCAATCCAATTGGTCGTTATATATGAGAACGCGCGTTGCGTTTTTGCCCTTTTTCTTTTTGGCCAAAGTTTTTTCCCCATTTGGAAAACCCGAAAGGGCAGCACCTCATTAGATTGAACGAATAAACAAGAAATTTGACGCCAAAAATGTGAAAAACAAGACTGTTTTTTTTTTTTTTGACCTAACGGAAACAACAAACTTGTTTATAACTCTATCCTGGCCCCAAAAAAAAAAAATTGTAACGGTATCACTGAAACTATTTAAACGGCGGTTGTCGCAGGGATAATTAACAGGACTGTTTTGGAAATTAGGAGTTATTTGACGGTATGGTTCATTGAGCCATTGGAAGTGCATGTGATTGCATCATCGCCTTCCTGCTTGAAGCCAATATTCCAATTTTCAATTCATCTTAAAACATCTTCAAAACTTCAAGGAGACCTCAGATTTTCGTCTCCTCAGCTGAATACGAGAGCTCAAAAGAAGCCTCTCCCAGTCTTTCAACTCAAGGAAATCTGATTCCCTGTTAAGAAAATTGATAGGATTTTAATCCATGACTTAAAAAAAAGTTGTTAACGTAGCATATCAATGCTCATTAATCTCGAAAAATAATTACTTCTAGGAAAATCACTACGGATTCCAACTAAAATGTTCTACACGTAATAATAAGTCTCAGCATAAAAAAGACAACTAATCTGTCTTGTGCATTTGTTATTGATAAGACCTTTTGGTTTGTGGTAAAAAAAAAAAGATAAGACTTTTTGGTAGTTACACTCTTCTTCTTCTGATAGTAATTTCTCCATATTTTGTTATTATTTCTGACATTTCCATCAACTGGTTCATTTCTTAATTTTTTAAGTCCTGACCATGTACAAGTCTACAATGAAAATTTTGGCCCAAAAAAAGGGTTTATCTTTTATGAAAGTCCTTAACTTTTGTCAAAGGCAGCGTCTGAGCTCTTCTTTCCATGTAGCGTCTTTAAGACTATGCTTGCATAGGAAGAAAATGGGAGGAAAGAAAATAGAGAGAAAGGAAAAAATAAAGGAAAGTTGTTATCATTCTTTTTGCTTAGATGGATGAGAGAAAATAGAAAAGAAGGAAAGTTAGCAAATATCTAAATGACTAAAATGTTCTTATCAAAATATATCATATTTAAAATTAAATTAAATTAAATTAAATATTGCAATAGAAAAATTATACTAACATTAACATCATCAAATAATTTAAAATTAAATTATTTGGTTTATATATATTTTCAGATTATTACGTTTTAAAACCAAATTATTTAATAAAAATATTGTTTTAAGATAAAAATAAAAAGTGAATAACTTTTTTAATATAATAGAAGAAAATAAATATAGAGAGGAGGGGCAGTCATAAAAATCTTGTTTTTCTTCCCAAATCTCTCTATATATGGAGAGAAAATGAGGCATAGGGCCTACTTTATTTTCTCCTCCATTTTTTTCCCTGTCCAACCAAGAGAAAACTTGTTTCTCCTTATGTTTTTCTTTCGAGTTTTTTCTCCTCCCTAATTTTCGTTCAATCCAAGCGAGGGGTAAAGAAAAATGCAAAGTTATCAAACTTCAATTAATTGTAGACTCGTATCTTAAAGTCTCACAAAATCACAACTTCTTGATTTACCAAAACCAGGGGAAAAAAGCCTATGAGTATTACTAGTCAAATAAGGAAGAAAAAGATGATTAAGTTTTGATTCATATGAAAAATAACTCTGCATAATCAGGGTAATATAACAAGACTGATCATTACATCACAGACAATAAACTAGGACTGGTCACAGGACTAGGACAGACCCGTCCTGATGAATAGTAACGAGACAAGGAATTTGTCCTGTGTCTCATCCCGTCCCGATATTGTCTTGATTCCAGTCGGGATGGGACCAGGACGTCCTGGTACTTTTTTTTTTGTTGAAAAAAACACCGTGGGCCTTCTAAAAAACGCTGTGGGCCTTTTAAAAACACTATGGGCCTTTTAATAGGAGATTTTAAATGATCTAGGCCTTTAATAAGAGATATACTTTTCATATATCAACAATTTTACAATCTAAACAATAATAGACAGCTTTATATCTACTCATTTACTGAATGCTCGTACAATATATAGTGAGGATACACTGAAAAATAAACCATTACTCAGCAACATTATGATAATTCAAGTATTCAATAAATGGGATAGTAAGAAAACAAAGTTAATCATGTGATGGATTTTGTCATCTTGGCAGGACAGGAAGTAAGAACAACTAACAAGTAACAAGCATCAATTGTCATATATTTTTTAAAATATAACCAAAGTTATATTTACAATAAAAGCTAGTTGGAGACCATTTGTCACTATCAATCAATTATCTAAATTCTAAATAGTCATTAAAACACATAAATAAAAGGCTTTAACAATTAACCCCACAAAAACTCATTGAAAATCTAAGCACCAAGCCACTAACAGTCTCAAATTACTAGCAAATATAAAAGGTCTAAATCAATAGCTCCAAAGTTCCATAGTCCATACTCCACACAATGGTGTCAAACCGTAAAGAAACATAACAAACAGTCCAAACATCCAATGAGGCAATAAGTCCATCACCAAATGACCACACTACGTCATCACAAACACTCGTCCAGAAAATAATAGAACCAAATCCATCCAGCACACAATCCAACATTTATTGGTTATTACTACTTCACAAACCATCAACCAGAGAATGATACATACAAATTATAAAAGAATTCAACAACTAGGAAAATTTGGAGAACCAACGAATGAGGCAAATTAACTCGGTGGGTTTTACTCATTTCACAAAAGATTTTATTTTCTCTGTCTCATTTGTGAAGAATATCAAACAGATCCCAATCGGCCAATCCATAGTCCATATTCATACAAAGAGGCAAAATATCATGTTGGCTATTAAGATGAAATCAATAAGCATGGATGGAGAAAAAGATATTAAAAGGGATTTTTAAAGACCCCAAGATCAAGAAAAGCAGTGAAAACTCATGAGTATGAGAAATAGAGAAAGTAGAAATCGAACGGTTGGAGAGGAGGTGAGGCCAGTTTGCAGTCTACACTCTACATCAAAGATTGACGTCGACGATGGATTGGGGCCGAAGAGAAGCTACAAAGGTTGCGACTTTAATGGAGGCTAGAACTGGAGAGTGGGACTGTGACTCTGTGAGTGAAGAGATGAAGTCAAGATGAGAGAGGCAGCGTGAGTTAGTAATAGGGGTGTTCATGGAGCCCAGTGGCCCGCTATGCCCGCCCAAGCCCGCAAGAAAATGTCTAGCCCGTCCTAAAAAAATTGGCCCAAAAGATATATCGGGCATGTTCGGGCTGGGCAAATTGTCGGGCAGGGCTGGGCATCGGGCTCGGTATGCTGCCCTACCCATTTGGCCTTGCCCGCAAAAATATATATAATTTTATTTATATATATTTTATTTGTCTCATATTTATCTCCTGAATCAAACACATTGTTGCATCAATATTCAATATTCATTATACTTATTTATTTTCAAATGATTTTGAGAGTAAACGTGTTATCATTTACTGCAATTTGTATAACCATTTTCTTTTTTAGTACAAACATTATGACCATTAGCAATTTATATAATTGATCCATGCTCTTATGAGTATTTGGGAGTTATGGGAAAAAAAATATTTACATTTGGTTGAGAAATTTTAGAAACTAGAAAAGCAATTAAGTTTAATAAAGTATACTAACAACATTTTTGTTTGTCATAATTTACTCCTCTTAGCTACTATAAAATGTTGTTTCATAATATATTAATTAGAAATAACTAAATTAAGGTCAAGTTGCCATTTTAATATAAAGTTACATTAGATTACCTAGAAGAACATAAATAACTAGTTAAGTAATATAGTATATTGATTTGCTGGGCATGGAAGCCCGCCCTGCCCAGCCCGCATTTGCCCAGCCCGAACTTACTAGGGCTTTTCATGGGCAGGGCCGGGCAATGGGCTGCATTTTCAAGCCCGTTCATTTTTCGGGCTGGGCATCGGGCAAGGGTCCTGCCCTGCCCAGCCCTGCCCATGTGCAGCCCCTAGCACTAAGTACCGTTCTCCAGCGGCCTCTTTTGCACTTCGTAAATGAGAGAATAGCCGAGAGCGGAGACCGAGAGGCGACTGGTGAGAGTGTAAGACATGGTTCGCTGCTTCCATCAGCTATCGCTGTCTGAAATCTGAAGGGAACGAAAGTGAAAAGTGAAAACTGGAGACTAGAGAGAGGCAAAGACAGTTAGGGCTTCAGCTTCATATTTTATTTGTTTTTACTTTTTAATAATATTAATAATATATAACTCATAATATAAATATAATATAAGATATTTTTTTAAAAATATACATATCGGGATGGGATGACCCCGTCCCAGTCCCATTTTTGTCCCGTTCCAAAATTTTTTGGAACGGGCCCGTCCCTTTTCAATAAGATCGAGACTGGGACAGGCCGGCTGTGAACATCCCCATGAGGAACCGCATTATAAAGGGTGGGATTGGAATGGAAAGAAGATTCAACGTGAAGACCCCAAAAAAAAAGAAGAATTTCACTTCACCTTAGACGTATTGCAGTCAAAATCTTAGTTATGTACTACTAAGAAGAAGAGCTGAATTTGATTTTAAATACAAGAGTTTAGTATTTCATCTCTTATATTTATTTTCTAAACACTAATTTATTTAATTCATGAATTGATATATAATTTATTTAATATTATATAATAATATTTTTGAAAAAAATATGTTATATATATGGCAATTAATTATTTCAATCTATTTAAATTAATTAAATAATTTTTATATCAAAAACAAAGGGCTCGTTTATTACAAAAAAGGAACTCCTTGGTGGCAGTAGAAAAATCAAAGCTTAAGACCGGCGCGAACACGCTGGCGGGGGGAAAAAAAAAGGAAAGAAAGACCGGCGCGGACGCGAATCGGGGCCTTCACGTGCCTCCCTCTCATTTTCTTCACTTGATCTGAATTTGCTGCCACTTCGCTTTTACTTCTCCGCGTCAAAGACCTGTGAGGCGTGAGCCCCAGCCCAGCCGGTAAATGGCCTTGCACGACCGGTTGTAACCGGTAAATCCGGCTCTCTTCTCCGGTGCCATACACTTTCTGGCTTCTGCCATCTTTTCACCCGCAAAACCCGAAAATCCCTGCTCTCGCCCTCTCACTTTCACATCCACGTCCGTCTGCTTTTTCGAAAGAAAGGACCGCTTCTCCGGTGTCCGAGACTGATTCAGCTCCTTCCGAACTTGGTCCTAGGGCTTATGAGGTTCGTCATTTTCGTTTATCAACCTTCTTTTTCTGTTACCTTCGTTTGGTTCACGACAAAATTTGAATGGAAACAAGAAGCTAATTTTTTTCCTTAAGCTTTGCAAGTTCATTCCTGCCTGGATCATTCGATCTTCGACGTACCGTGTTTTTTGTTGTTGTTGTTGTTGTTATAGCTTTTCTACTTGCTTTTGCTGGTCTGCAGTTGAGGATAGTCGTCTTTGGCTGTGGCATTTCTATAGTTTTTTTTTTTTTAAATGCTAAACATGCTGAACATGGTCGAAAATCTATGCATTCGATTGAACTCGCCGTTGGTTTTACCAATTTTGATGCTAGATGCTGAGGTTGGAGTTAAACCACGCCGTTCGAACTTAATTTTTTAGTTTGTGATTTTCCATTCTGTTTTATTAATTGCGATTTAATTCGTTATTTACTGTCTATAGAAAATGTCTGGAGCTGAGGTACTATGGGAGAGATTAGTCCGGGCTGCGCTGAGGAGGGCAAGGATTGGTGACGATACATATGGACGGCCGGCTGTTGGAATTGCTGGAAACGTACCATCGGCACTTGCCAAAAACAGGGATATTGATGAGATATTAAGAGTTGCAGATGAAATTCAAGAGGAGGATCCTAATGTCTCCAGAATCTGTATGCTTTCACTGCTTGTTTTCCATTCCAACGTATTTTATTTGCATTTTGTAACATTTTGCTTTAGTGATACTCAAGGATTGGTTATCTGAGCATGGAAACTAAATTTAAATTGGCTACATCCTGCAAAGGAAGTTCTCTTTGTGAATTGCCGGTTTAAAAATTCCAGATATTGAAATGATATTAAACTCGTATTTTTTTGTAGAATAATAGCTTCTAAGCCTATTGTAAACTTTGGGCTTTGGATTTATTTTTATCATGATCTTTAGCTTTTTTATTTTTATTAATTTGTTGCAATTGTATCATGTCATACCTCTCTGTCTTGCACTTCCTTCCTTGTCTATATTAATAAATATATTTAAATCTGAAATGTGGCTGCTTGCCATCTCATATATAGGATCCGTGCCAGTGCTTCATAATATTTTTTTTAAAAGTTTTTTGGTAAATAATACTTCATAATATTTCATTTATTGCTCAGTGCCCTATCTTATATACCTTATTTACATGCAGTATGTGAGCATGCTTACTCATTATCTCAGAATTTGGACCCTAACAGTGAAGGCCGAGGTGTTTTGCAATTTAAGACTGGTTTGATGTCTGTTATTAAGGTACGATATATATGGTTTGACTTCATTAGTCTTAGATTTAACTTGAAATTTGTGCATTGTTGTCCTGAGAAAAAAGGAGATGAGGAAGCAGAAAGAGGGAGAGGAAGAGAGAGGGAGGAAGGAAGGGGAAAAAGGGGAAGATGTTCAAGATTTGGGAAGGCCTATAATTATTGTTGGTTGATGAATATCAACCGTATCTTTTGCTTGTAGGTTCTCTTGTTCAAATTTGAATTTTTTCTTTACCTTGCGGTATATATTTTGGAAAAAGGTCTATTGTGTTTTTGGAGCTGTTATCAATTTACCAAAATATAAAGAGTTTTGGTGAATGTGTTTGTAGTTGGTTGTGGGTAGAACCTAATGGCATAATGTGATTCATGTAGTTGACTTCACTTAGTGGAATAAGACTTCTTCTTGTTGTTGTTGTATAAATAGAGAGTTTGCTTCAGCAAGTGCCAAATTATTCTATTTATTTAACTTGTAAAAGTCACTTGTGACGTTCATGGCAAGAGGCAGCAACAAATCCAAGGGAAGCCTGCTGTTCTGTATAACCATTTCATTTGTCATTATTTTTATTTTATATTCATTGATTTTCTTAATGCAAGTTTTGTCTCACGTTATCAAAGTTATACTCCAATGTTTCTAGCAGCTATAATTTATATTATCCTGCTCATTTATTAACGTATTTCAGCAAAAGTTGGCTAAGAGAGAAGTTGGAACCATAGATAGAAGTCAGGACATTGCAAAATTACAAGAGTTCTACAAGCGCTATAGGGAGAAGCATAATGTAGACAGGTTACGGGAGGAGGAGATGAAGTTGCGGGAATCTGGTGCTTTTAGTGCAAAGCTTAGCGAGTATGTTTGTGTATTAGCAAAAGTTGCCCATTTAGATGATCTTGTGCTTTCTCTTTCTTCCCCCTCCCCTTTAGACACCAGCACTCCCCAAAGTAAGAAGTTCTATAGTGCAATCTGCTGTGGATGTGATTTATTTTCACAATTTTGTATGGAGAGGACCTCTTTTCCTCTAACTATATTTCTTCATATTGCTCTTTTTTCTCTCCAATACATTCTCCTTTTTTACTTAAAAAAGCGATGCTGTTGAATTGGTAAATTTTTTAGGCCAAATAATTAGTAATTTTGATAATTGAGTTTTCAAGCATTTATGCTATAGGTTAGATAGCTGAGCAATGGATAGAGAGCATAGCCAGAAATAATAATGCCGAGTAAATTGAAAAATTGCATGATGAACAAAATATCATTTTGATTGAGGAAATATAATGATGAACCATGAAGGAAAGGAGTTGTAGCTTGAGTTATAGTACTCGTATTTAACTTTGTTGACAGCAAAGGATTTTACCAGTTTTTCAATTATCACCAAGATTGAAGTGGCTTCCATGCAATTATCTGCCAACTCCTTTTTTCACTTAAGTTTCTTTCATGGCCTGGTTTCATCTTCTGAATATGTGTTGTGTGTATTCCTTTTGAAATTTAAATTCTTTGCTGTTGAATATAGGTTGGAGCGGAAGACATTGAAACGGAAAAGAATATTTGCTAGTTTAAGGGTTTTGGGCATGGTCATTGAACAGCTGTCCACCGAAATTCCTGAAGAGGTTTGCTTCTGTTCTGTTTGACATGTATCATATGAAGATGCAATCCTTTTACATGTGTAATGAATATATATGTTTATTTTTTTGGGGGGGGGTTGTAAAAGACGTCATTTTATGGAGTGTTACAGTGATGCTACCTTTAGAAAAGAAGTGGTGATGCTTTTGGAGACTTTGCTTATCATCTTCTTTTATATGAATTATGAATCATGAGTGTTTTGCTTCTTTTAATCCTTCTTTCTTTCTTTCTCTCTCTTTCTCGGTTTTTCATAGTGTTTTAAAATTAGACTGGCCTCCTCCGTGGAGAATGGATTTGTTCATGATTCAGTTTTTCAACTTGAGTGTAATGTGTTTGTGTGATGTTTTATATGATCTGAATTCTGAAGTTTATCATGTTGCCTTTCATGTGTTCATACTAGTGTCCATACTCCATACTTCATAGGGAGTAAGCTTAACATGTTTTCAGGGTTGATAAGAGAAGGCATTTCTGCTGGAAGCATTTTCTGTAGAAAATTGCTTTTCCTAAGCTACTGTTGTTTGTTATTTGGTGGAGCTTGAGTTTTCATTAATGTTATTAATGATCATCTCTTAACAGATTTTTCTTTTTGTTGCAGCTGAAATCTCTGATGGAATCAGATTCTGCAATGACAGAAGACCTAATTGCTTACAACATTATTCCCTTGGATGCTCCTTCCTTAACAAATACTATTATGTCTTTGCTTGAGGTTAGGGAGTTATTTTGCTTAATATAGAAGTTAGAGACCAGGAATAAAACAATGAGATATATAGAGAGAGAGAGTGACCAGGAAGATAAGCTTGTATTATTGGTCTGTGTACTCTGATATATATAGACATGTCTAGTGTGATTGACATGACCAAATTTCTATACCAATGCTATAGCCATCATTGAACTAACTAATTAATCTAACTCTCATTATTTTCACTAATACTTAGGACTTGATATTTGGAATATTATTGTCTGGATTTTTACCTGAGGAAACATATTGCTAGGTTCAAGCAGCAGTTTCAGCTTTGAAGTACTATAGGGGTTTGCCGGAGTTACCTCGGGGTCATCCAATTCCTGCTGCTAGAGATGCTGATATGCTTGATTTTTTGCAGTGTATCTTTGGATTTCAGGTCAGCATGGGCGAGTTGTCATGCACATTTTTACTGGGATGGATCTCATTTTTAAAACCTTCAATCATTTAGGGTTTGGTGGCAATAAGGGGCCAAATTTCTTGATATTTGCAATTTTTTTCTGGTATTCTGGTGCGATCAGATGAAGGGGCATGACTGCATTTATTAAGATCTCCCATTTGTCTGTTCAGATGTTTTGTATATATGTATTCAGCTTGGAGTTCAGCTCTTCAAAGTTTATGGTGGTTTCTTTTAAGATAAGGAGGGAGATTAGATATATGGTTGCATGTTCAATTTTACTTTTTAGTAGTTTGTTGTTTTTTTCCTCTCTCCATGATGTTTCTATGTTAGGATTTTTTTTTTTCCTGTAAGTTGTATAGGTCTAATTTCTTTCAACGCTTGAATTTGTCTGTGTAAACAGCAAATTCTTTCCATTTTTATTTTCCTATTACAATTCTCTGCCCTTTTTTTTTTTAAGTACCAATTACCAATACTTTAAATTCTCATGTATGATGATTTTGAGTTGAGAAATTTTTGAAGACATCAGTTGAATTAGGCGGTGAAGATTTGAGTGGAGTTTTTCACAATTGTCATTGTCTCTTCTCTGGTCTTTATTCTTATAATTAATTGTTTAATATAGATGGAACAAAGTCATAATCTGATTCATTTGATCGTGTTCTGATAAGGAGCTATTAGATGCATTGGTAGTATCAATACAAAATCATTCTCTCTCTTGCATTTGATGACGGACATTTGTTTTTTCCAGAAAGATAATGTCTCTAATCAGCGAGAACACTTAGTTCACCTGCTTGCTAATGAGCAGTCTCGGCTTGGAATTCCAGCTGAAACAGAACCTGTAAGTCTCAAAACCTTTTGGGTTTTTTTTTTTTTTCGCTGAATGGTCAATAAGTTGTCTTTGTCTTGCTCTTAAATGTTTTTCAAATGTGTCATGAATTATAATTAAAGTAGTTTTATCAAGTAATATAACAAAGGATGCTACATCATTTCCCAGAGATGAAATGTGTAAAGTAGGCTTTCATGACCTTTAGGTTATGTAGGGCTAGGGGGAGGTACTCCTGTTCTACTGCTCAGGGAAGCAATTATTTCATTTAAATATCTGATAAAGTGGAATTGTGCAATCATAAAGTAGTTTCAAAATTACGGTGCATAAGCCTGTTGAATTTGCTTCCATGGATCAGTAGTGTCCTTTTGAGTTTGTGATCGTGCTAAGCAAATGGTTATGTGTGAGGGGTGTCATTGTGTTACTTTCTGCCTTCTACTTCTGGCAGTTTGAGGAGGATTTTACATCCTTTCTTTATGCATTCCTCCTATTTAAGCTAGCTGTACAAGACGTTCATCCGTTTTGTTCTTGAGGATGTGGCTCTTGTTGTCATTGTTTTTCCCTCCTGTGTTTTCTCTGTTGTATACTTTATAGTGTCTATTGACCCGCAATTGTCTTAGTGTCAACAAAACCAATCAAAGGTCTGGTTGGGTTTATGGAGTCTCTATATCTGTGCTTTGGGTCTATATTTCTTCCCTAGTATTTTTGCTTATAGTGCCTTTCTTTGAGCTACTGAACTACATCTTTTTTGGATTTTTTTGGGAGGACATTTTGTCCTTAGTTTTGTGTTTTCTTTTCCTCTCCTTGGCTTTTTTCTTTGTTACTTGAAGCTAGAGCTCAAAGACTGGACAAACTGCAGCCATGTCTCGTGCCTTTTGAGTACTAAACTCTCATTTCTTTGTTATGAACATTCTGATGACATGATGGCCCAATAGCTTCAGCTGTTCAACAAAAGCCCTTGATTATTTTATTAATATTTTTAACACTTAATATACAACTTGTTCTGGCAAGAAGAAAAAAAAATCTAGCTACGAGATGCTGGAGAGAACCTTTGGATATCTAAAGTTTCTAATCCCTTATTTTAAAACCTTAAATTAATATGCACCAGAGGAATCAAGAGTAGGCTAAAGGTTATGGCCTCCTCCGCCATTGGTTTTTGTCATTCAATGTCTGATGATCTTTTTTTGCCCCCTTCTTATTTCTTCTTATGATTTACGTCTCTTGCTTCTAGAAACTGGATGAGGCTGCGGTGCAGAACGTATTTGTGAAGTCCCTTGAGAATTACATTAACTGGTGTAGCTATTTAGCTATTCAGCCTGTTTGGAGCAGGTATAAATATTATCAGCTATCTGTGACTGAGCGCTGAATGTAATTTATGGTTTATGATGACTGAGAGTTGAGGATCTGGAATGGCTTTGAGCAGTTTGGATGCTGTTAGCAGAGAGAAGAAATTGCTATACGTCTCTTTAATTTACCTAATATGGGGTGAAGCTGCCAATATCAGGTTTAGGTTTCTGCGAGAATGCTTGTGCTACATATTTCACCATGTAAGATAACTGAGCAGACAATCTAAGTCATCTTTCTTTGGTTGACTCTGAAAAGTTCATGTTAATTAATTTGTTGAGGTTATTAAAGGCCATTTTCATCCTATTATCATTTTTGTAAGCTTTCGTGGATTTTTTACTGTGAAGAAAAGCATTGAATATGCACAAGTTTTTATTCCATATATACGTTGAATTATCCTTCTCTGTAATTGCAATATTGCTCCCAACCTTCAGCGCCTTTGCAGGATGTTGAGTGTTAAACAAACTTGAAATGATCTTTTAGGAATAGGAATTTGAATAGTATTGAATGCATTGGCTTGGTGTGTCTGCTACTTTTAGCCTATTTCATTCTAGCTTGGCAGATTGCTATATCTTCTGCTTCTTCTTCTTCATGGGTATATTTTGGCTTTAGTTCTACATGTCATGCATTCCTTTTGTTTTGCCTACTAATTGTTCTATCTCTTGTCAACTCTTATCTATAGTATTGGATTTTTACTCATGAATTTGGGTTGCAGATGGCTAGGGAAATGGATGAAATTGTGAGCAGCAAATTGCACAGCCAGCTAATAGTTGCATTACTCAGGATGGCGTTTCTTTTCTTGATCAAGTTATCTGCCTCTCTATGGCATTGTTGCTGCAGTAAGTTTCTGCATGTTTATAATTGTTCTACTAACTTTACAAACAAGTAAAACTAATTGGAGACATAAGAAGTGCTCAGAATTTATGCCAACTTGACCAAAATTTTGACTGTGGACTGTGCTGAAGAGTGAAGAGCTAAAGCAGAGAGGCTTAGGTTTGATTCTTGTTATATTTTAAAGAACAAACTGAAAGGCCTCCTGAAACTGAATAGCTGTTGTGGAGAGCACCATTGTATATTCTATTGAGCAGCACATATCAGTCAACGTATGACTTGGGCATTCCCTATAACTTAGATTCCCTTCAATTGGCCAACCAGACTGACATTTCGACAGACACAACTCGGTGACACTATTCTTTTGTTAGTCAGAACTTTTTGTAGGTAGTGCTCTAGATATGCTGACCACTAACTTACAAATG